CTTATGGGACGTATGTTACATTAGTATTAAATAATTGAATTATATTGCATTTCGCCATTTTTCATTGACGCAGCTAGACATTTGAACAAGTGGGTGCTCATGCAGGTTTTTTTGTAACTCAGTGGGACCTAACACTATTATTTGTCTACATGCAAACACAACCACTAAAACAATACAAAAATCATAATTCCGGGTCCACATAAGAGTACAGCCTTATACTGATATAAAGTTAACTTTTCGCAAAAGGAAAGATTTTATCAGGAACCGATTCGGATGTGCCTGTTCGAACAACTATATTTTTTTTTGTACACGTATAAACATATAAAATAATATTTATTTGTACAGTCATTAAAATTCGATGTGATGATATTTCTCTCAGTGCTGGAAAAGTTTTGTTTTAAAATTCTATTACGATTAATATACATATATACCTATCCTGTATACCAACAATAATTTGTTTTACCGTGGACCGGCGAAATTATTTATTTCTTTTCTTTCAAAAAAAGTCGCCAAAATCTTTACAGATAGTCGACAACGAGTGGATTATATACGATAAAACAAAACAACCCTAAAAAATAATGATAAAATGGACATTAGTTTCAATAAAAAAAAAACTGCGCGGAAAAAACATCAAAAGAACGTTTTACGGTATCCAAAACGAATAAACAGCCGGGTGCATAGACGCAATGTGGGAAGACAAGGGGCATATTCCCCGCGGATAATTTTCTGAGGAAGTAATATTGCCTTCTCGCCCTGTTATATGTTAAAATTACATTTATTTTAACATAAATATAGCACAATGGGTTGTTATAATATTATTCTTTTTTCTTCCATGACAATAATAAATAATAATAATATCAAAAAAACCCATTGAAATATCTCCTGAGACAATAAAATTAATACAATTTTTTTTTATTATTATTATTACACGCAGGAATAAGGATTATTTATATTTGAATTAAATTTTTATGTTTTAGTAAAAAAACTGAAAAATGAACTTTTTGTTTTATTATTTTTGGAAAATTTGAAGACACCCATTTTATAGAGTTGTTCTGGAAATTTATACGTTTCAACTTTTTATTTTCATTAAATTTGTGATTTAGAATAATAAATTATTATAAAGTTCAAAAAAAAAAGCCTGCATCACCCCTAGAATTCGTCCCGAGTTATGCCAATGGCCAAATGTGTTTACACATGATATTAAAATATATTTGCTATACGACCTAACGTTATTATTATNGGAAATTTATACGTTTCAACTTTTTATTTTCATTAAATTTGTGATTTAGAATAATAAATTATTATAAAGTTCAAAAAAAAAAGCCTGCATCACCCCTAGAATTCGTCCCGAGTTATGCAAATGGCCAAATGTGTTTACACATGATATTAAAATATATTTGCTATACGACCTAACGTTATTATTATTATTGTACCCGGTAATCGAATCCCTTATTTTCGGGACCGGTACGATAACGGCGGATAATAGTTTAACATCGAATACAGTGTTATTATTTCCAAGACGAAATCCTATTGTTCGCGAGTTTTAGGCGACGATTCGAGTAATTACAATTGTAAATGATCGCAACCTTTTATCATCGGCGACTGGCCTAGAAGCTCGTGACCGCTGCTGATTAACGGCAGCGCCGTGCGCGGATCGCTCGCTGAATTCGCTCTATGTATAAAGTCCGCTTTGCAATTATTGCGCTCGAACCTCACCCCCCCCCCCTCTTCCCCACTTCCGAGTTGTATGTGCTTTTCATTATAAAGGTTGTGTGGCGGCAGCGGTGACGTCAATCCTCGGCGAGCGGATACCATGGTAACAGTGTCGAGCATGACGTCAACCATACGGCGGCGGTAGTAGGTCGAGAAACTTATGAACGGCGGATCTCACGTTAGAGGGGTTCAACCGCCTTCCGAAATTTATTTTGTTCGGGTTTTTTTTTTTTTTTGTTTTGTTTTTATACGACACACTCTATACGTTTAGTCGAAAACCGTTGATATGGCAAATGCAATTTGTATTTTTAACTATATGGACGTATTAGATGTATGCGCTTTTCCGTATTATTTTCAATGGGCACTATATTCTAATAATATTGCGTAACATAGTATTTCTGTGATGGTAAATCGATAATATTTCCATTAACAATTCGGCTCGTCGGCGCTCAGCTGTTATGTAATAATACGTATACAACTAACTATATGACCAAAACACAGATTTTAAAACGCAATCATGTGACGCGGTGTGCAGGGAGGTAATTAAGGATTAACACCCCCCCCGCCGACAATTGGCTTAAAAATACAACAACTATGAGTATTAATACAGTAATTTAGTTTTGAATTGTGGGCATTAAATATTTGGTGTGAATTTATTTTAGATTTCCTTTTATTAAGTACAGTGAAATATAATAACTCAGCTAGTGATATACGCAGGTTCCTTCCCCAACCCCCGGTGTGATTGGAGGTTGGGAATTTATGTATTGTACTATTATATTAATTTTTATATTCTTTTGATTTATACGTGAAGTGTATTATGTTGTAAAATACGTATCTATGTATTATTATAAAAAATGTATAAATTAATTAATATCCACTCCCTCTCCCTCCTCCCCCCATTGGCTTGAAAATACAACAACTATGAGCATTTATACAGTGTTTTAATCTTGGATTTAATAAAACTGTTTATTTCAGCGGCTAAGTATCAACAATTTATTGATTCATTGAATACAAATTTGTTTTTTTTTTTTTTTTGTTGATAAGACGTTTAAATTCAATGTTTAAGTGACTCATACCGTTCAACTAATTGTGTTTAATAAGTATTAATGTACATATTTAAAAATTAAAATTTGATAGATTATGGCTTAATCGGGTGCACGTGGCCAAAAACACTGAGTATACCGTTTTCACACTCTTTAAATACACTATAGTACAGTATCGTTTACCCAAACTAAATAAAACTTAGGATGTAGATTACAGGTGTATTATACCATATATTTTTAGCGTTTAATATTGCCGCGTACTCCACCCCTGTAAAGTTACAATCTATATCCGGTTACTCGAACAAGTTAAACGACACATTAATACAAACACAATATAATATAACAATGATAGTTTTGTGCTGTTACATGGAAACTGAACGATTGAATACATTTATAAATTATTTATTAAGACACGGTTAGTTTGGGATTTTCTGGTAGTCGGTAAAGGCACTGTTGGTTTTCATTCCGTTTTCTGTAGAAAAAATACAAAATACGAATAGAAATAAATAGGAACGGAATAAGAATTGCCAATTAAGGTTTGAACTGTATAAGACCCGTAGACCTACGGTTTCGTTTACTAAAATGTGCAGCGGTACCGATAAAACGCCCGGATATTGTTGAAAATGTTTATGGTAACGGGTTCGCTATAATAAAGATAAATATTACACAGTCCTTGGGCAATGTTTTGCCACTGCGAAATGTATCCAATCTATAATATAGAATGATAAAGAACTTATAGAACTGCACCACTATGCAGTGTGCAAAAATACAAGTATATAACAATAGACGAAATTTAATACAGCTCACGGTAGGGGCTCCACTGTGAGCATATAGTGAATGACATCGAGTAAAGTGTTTTCTAGTGTACGTTAAGTATAATATGTATAATAAAAATTTATGGTATAATATTTCTACTAGAAAAGTGATTATAATAAGATAAAAACAAAATAAAATACATTTGAGAAAAAGCATTTGATGATAAACACATTTTAGATTCTGAACGGAGAGAGGAATATATTAGTTTTACAAAGATGTATATTTATTTTTATTATTTTATCTGAGAACAACTTTTCTACCGGCAATTTTACTCCGATTTTCAAGTATAGCACTTTTTCTGAAAGGAAATCTGACTAGGATGGTCCTTTAAGCTGGTCAATTTTTGACTTTTTCCAATAAATGGGAAAAACCGGAAAAAATTATGAAAACCTGAACAAGACACATAAGAAAAACGAGAAAATTTACGAAATATATTATTTACAAAACGTAAATATTATTTATATCATTTCTGTGGCGGTATGACACGCGGCGTGTTAATAATGCACCACTACTCTCTTTCAATCTAAAATTAAAAGTGGAATATCTCGTCAACGACTTGACAAAAATCAAAAATTTCAACGCTGCAATTTATTTTAACTAATATTTCATCTATGTAAAGACTTTTTAATATAGGCTACCATTTAAAAATCAAAAATAGGTAGTGGTTTTAACCCCAAAAATAAGGGCGACAAAAAATAACATAAATATAAAATTGTAGAGTAACTCGTTTTATAAATGTTCTAAAAAACGAAAAAGTTCCGGAAAAAATTAATACTTTCCGAAATACTAAGTGTACCTACTTAAATAAATTACCTGATATAATATTATTTATACATTATATATATATACAATGACGGCCAAATGATTTTGTCATGGGGGAGGGGATAAGGAACATATTTTTAAGCATGCTCACTCTATTTGTATAGTTAAATTATGCATAAATCTGATTTTTGGAATTTTTAATTGCAGTGAATGGCGATATTTTTGCATACCTAAATTTTTCACAATACTTAAAGAGTATCTTATGGAAATAACAATTTTGTTTTCCAAACAAAAATTTGTATGTTTTGAGGCAAATTATCAATCAGGAAATTTCAATAAATATTTTCTAAGTTATTCTGCTTTAAATACTAAAAACAATATCCTTTTATGGGAATTGAATATAAACTGTTTCATGTGTATAGACAATTTTTTGTTTTAAATCGTGCAATTATTATCCTTTAGTATTTAAAGTTGAATAACTCAAACATTTTTCGTTCAAATTTCCACTTAAATACGTCAAAATTGTGAAGAATTTGGATAAATTTGATTTTGGTCTTTATCGGTCATTGTTAAATCATTTAATTCTCTGGTTTTATATTTACAATATTTTCAAAATGTTACCTTTGTTTGGTATAACATAATAAACACATAGTCGAAAAATATAATCGAGTTTTAACTTTTAGTTGTCAAACTTTCTGGGACTATTAGAAAAGTATAACACACATAATAAAAGACATATGTATCCAGTATCCACGTGTGGAAAATTCCTCGACTGGATATTTTCGCTATACTTTAATATGTTATATAATATATCATCTGTTAGTTAAATACGTTGTACGATTCGAATATTCAGTGTATTGAAAACGGGAAGAGAAAATGAAAATGTTGGAGAAAACTACGTACTTCTGTGTACGTAAGAATAGTTGCGTGTCATGCAGTTATACGGCGTCTTTGGTTACAATAATAATACTCGTTTAATACTGTGTCCCGTAATTCGAAATATACGAAATACCTTCTTGTTTTTATACGAGTCGGTTTTACGAAAACGACTAGAAATTAATTGACAAGTCAACGAAAAAAAATGGAATATTTCGTCAACGGATTGACGGAAATCAAAAATGTCAACACCAAAATTTATTTTAACTAGTACTTCGTCTATTTATGTAATTTTTAATGTAGGCTGTCATTTAAAAATCAAAAGTAGGAAGTGGTTTTACTTCCCAAAAAAAGAATGACGAAAAAATAACATAAATATAAAATTGTAAAGCAGCTTGTTTCTTAAATATTCTAAAAAACTAATTCCGAAAAAGTAAATATTGTCCGAGACAACGCTTGTCTTACGATAGATTGATCACCCTGTTTATATATATATATCGATTTAAAATTAAATATTACACAATGAGTAAAAGTTTAATAATATTTAGGAATACGTTTAAAAAAAATCTATATTATAATAACTATGATCTCCAATGTATTGTTCCATATTAGTGTTTTGAACAAACATTTATACAACTTCGTCATCTTTGAACTCTTTTTTTTTTTATAAATATTTGCCATTGCCAATCCATTTAGTCTTTCTTGGACATAGCAGACCGTAAGTAAGTTTTTAATCTCTTTAACGTCGAAAATGTTCGTTCTGGCGTAACAGAAGTAACAGGTCGCGTTGAAAACAATTGTAGTAGTATTTCAATGTTAGGTACAAGGTTAGTACAATGAGTAAGTGTTTCAATTGCTGATTTAGGTTTTGGAATATTATTTGTTTTCCATTGTTGTATCCATAGGGACAACTCTGATTCAAATATTCATTAGGAATTCATATAACAATTACAACCAAAGAATATAACAAAACTACAAGAGCCACAGAATATACAGTGATATGAATATGGTTTAAATAGCCAAAAAAAAAACACGGCCAATGTGTTAAATAGTCCCCTTAGTCTCCCCTGGCTACGCGTCTTGGACCACGCTACCATAATCGGAAGGGATAGCTACATAAAAGCGATGACAATTTTTGTTTTATTATTAGTTTAAAATACAAATTTGTTGTGGCACTTTTTTTTCAATCAATAAAAAATATGAATTAATATAAAATTAATAATTATATAAAAATATGTTTTGATTATGTAAAATTTGTTGACATACGGTGGTCAGCTAAAAACAGGTTTACGAAAGTCTATTGTTCTTTCGACGTTGGAAGTCAGGGCCTCGAAACGCAGTCGACGGAACCAAAATGTGAATATCCTAACCAGGAAATAATTATGCGTGTATAGCTTTCTATAGCAGTCAGATTGTTCAGACGAGAGGCGATTTTCAGTCCTCAAAAGAACAAAATTGTTTATGAGATGATGGACTAAACGCCCTCTCACTTTTTACAGTTGAATTTGAACTAGTTTCGAAGTCAAGGTTTACATAAACAATAAACAAATTTACTCAACAAAAAGCTAAGGAAAAAAATACCTTAGACGCATAGTGAAAACATTTTCCGTATCAGTGTACATGAAAATAAAAAAAAGGTTATTGAGTTTTAAGTATGTGTTTTTTTTTATGTGTGTATACTGTGTATGCATACGTATGTATATACAATGCATTCAATATGAAACAAGACTAAATTACCAAATCATTGCAAAATATTACAGTTCAACATGCAGTTTGAAAAATAATGTAATAACAATAGAATAATATTACCTAAAGCCGGGTCGTAATAGGGCAGGGTGTGTGTACAGATACGTAGCAAATGAATATTGCGTCCGGTGCAAAGTTCAAAGTTGAAAGATTTGTACCGATTGCAATCAAATTAGTGTTTTGATTATCTTATATTGCACTATTGAGTTTTCTGGATTTCAAACATTTTATTTATTCACTTTTTTTTCAGTGTTATTTTAGATTCTGAGTGTAGCGAAGAATTTATTGGTTTTACAAAAGAAGTTTATTTTAACTTTATACTATGTACGAAAATTCTGCCAGAAATATGGTTTCGAAGTATCAAGTATATCACCTTTTCTGAAAGGGAATTGTCCTGGGGTGGTACTTTAAGAATGTTATTTTTTCCAATAAATGGTAAAAACCGGGAAAATGTACGAAATGTAAGTATTAGTAAAAAAATATATTATTAAAGGAAATCTATAATGCGTATGTAATTATTTTACCATAATGTGACTTATATATTGTTGAAATAGCAACACTTTATTAACCGAACTCCCCCTCAACCCTCAGAATCGTTTTTCGTTAGTAATGGTTAATCGCCGTGTACAGATATACATTCAATTTCCTCTCTGCCTTTCCAACTTGCCGTCTACAACAGTGGCCCGCCCACGTACGATGTGTGTCCGCCTTTTTTAAAAATTCATAGGGTATTTAATATTTTTGCGACCTCTCGGCTATTGCACCAGGAACGTGGACACCGTTTACCCCCTCCCTCCCCCTTTCGCCCTGCATGTGTATAATGACCGTGTACACGCGTGTCTGTAAAAATAATCTAAACTAATATTATTAAGAGAAAAGTTTGTTCGTCACGAATAAGCTCAAAAGCTACTTAACCGATTTGCAACAATTTCTTTCGCCTATAAAAAAAACTGCCTACATTATCAGCGAGTAATATGGATTGTATTTTATCTTCAACAAAATTAGCGATCCCCGCGAAAATAACTACCGAACAATGAACTACGTGTTTAGTGTAATCACCATTACTCAGGAAAAAAAATAAAATAATAATGCGTATTGTACTAATCCACGCGAGCATATTTGTCATTATTATCATTATTGTTATCACGGTTTATTTTTATGGATTGTTGTTCTGTCCGACTTCTCGGCGGTAACTATTATAAAATACAAAATAATAACGTGTCCCGCGACTGACTGATTCATCATCGTACGGCCCACCAAGTCACCGGACGGATCGGGCCGAAATTCGGCGCACAGATAGCCATTATGACGTAGGCGTCCGGCCGCCAAGAATGGACGGGGTCGAAACCTCGACCCCCGGAAACGTTGGTAAAATCGGGTGTTTTTTTTTCCAGACATTTTTCGTATACGAATAACCTGCCTAATTGTATATTTATTTACTCTTGTTTATTCGAGGATTACCACGGTGATACGGATGATAATTTGGCTGTCGCGGACAAGACGACTACTGTTATTATTATTACTACTGCTACCGCTGCCGCTGCTACTACTACTACTACTACTACTACTACTACTACTACTACTACTACTACTACTAGTATTTACACTATTATGCTCTAGCAATAGCAAAGCATTGCCGGGTCAACTATATTAAATGAAAGTTGTATGAAAACTCGAAATTATCATTTTTTTTTTTCGATGTAATTTTCTCGGATAGCGTAAGCGTTAATAATATAATCGTGACATCACGCGCGCGAGACCACAGTGAATCGACTCGCACAAGGTTAACATAAAGTTGTAAATAAACAAATGTTTTTCGCTCCCACGCCACATTGTCTATTAGATTCGTAAATTACACGTACTTAGGTGTCTGTGTATAGATTAAACGTTCAAATCAAATAAACTCTGGACGACAGCCGAATATAACACGAGGCACGATAAATTTCAAACGCGTGAATTTTTTAGGAAAACGGACGTGAGCGCACTCTACATTCGACTCAAGTTTATTTTTCTGGGAATCGTTCAGCGACGTGACTTCGTAAAACAATGATCGAAATCGCCATGAACAGATCGGAAATAGGAGCGGGGAAAAATAATAATATTGTTTTAAATTGCGGGCGGTACATGATCGGTTTGAAAATAATACTTTTGTTGTTCGTCTGCTGTAAAGTGCGGGTAGGTATTCAAAATCTGCGTACCGTGATTGTATTTTATTGGTTTTAATGATGGGAGGGGGGTGGGGTGGTGGAGGAAACAGTTTTACGGTAACAGTGGTAGGTACCCGGACATTATTATTTTGATATTATCCGTCAATTCGTAATGGCTATTAAGGAATAATATCGGCGTAGTAAAAAGTGATGTTTTTATTTACCCGAGTAATTTCTGCGCTAACGATTATTGTTTTTTCAAGTTCGAAATGAACAGGTACGCATTCTCTGGCCGTCGAATTCGGTTGAATAAACAAATACAGCAGTCACAACAGCGGTTCTTAAATTTTTGTGGCGCGCGAACCGCTGTGAACGTAATATTGAAGTCCTCCGGATTTATGTGCGAAAATTGTTATTTCAACTAGACTTTCCGACCAATCACACACATTTTGTCCGCCCGGAAAATGTCTAACAAACTGTCACAGTCTACAAGACACGAGGGTGCAGTTATACGATTGCGAACGGACCGTTTTCCGTATAAGGTCGCGAACGTTTTTACCCGCCTTTTTTTTTTTCGTACGGCGTTGCCAGATTCGGCGTTCGTCCAATTATGTACGTTCATGTAGTGAACGGATTTAACATTATTTTTCTAAATTTTGTTTTGTTTTCGATTATATAATTAAATTATGTAATGTTAACAACGCCGGTTTTCCGCTATTACCATAAGCGTGGCCAGACTTTGTTTTAGCAACAGTTGCAAGTGAAATATTTGTTCACCCGCCCTCTAAATTTTTTTCCTAGTATGTTAAATTTAAAAACGAAATGTACGCAGTATAAAAAAGAAAAAAAAATTCTTTTGAATTTTGTCTCAATATGTTTATATAATACTGTATACAAACTAGGTACATGTATTTATTATATTTGTAAAAAACATATATTTTATAATTCTAAACGTCGCTTTATGTTTGGTTAATTTGAAATCTTCAATGACATAATCCTAGTTGACCGAAATTGCAAAAAAAATCATGACCCTAATCTATCTGGTGACATAGTACCTATTCCTCATTTTGGTTTACAGAATTTGTTTAACTTTAAAAACGACCGTTCACAGAAGCAATTAGTTACCATTATACATGGGCGTCCCCAGACATTTTTCTAGGGGGGGGAGCAAAATTAATTTAAAAAATAAATGAAAATTTTTTATACATTTTATTTATAGTAGGTATATTATTATATTTTGTCATTATTACAATTAGATATTATTATAATACATTAGACTTGTGCCAAGTAGTGTCCTATATCATTTTTATAATAATCCACTTCCTTGTCATAAACATTTTCAACTTGTTCAGTAAAACTGCCACCTTTACTCAAGTCAGTAATATCAACTGCACTTGTGGAATTAGTCTCTACAGTCAGACTTTTTGTTTTATCTAACGATCCATTAAGACTGTCGTCTAATTTAGGTTTCTTAAAAAAGTTCCGTATGTCCATAATTAATGTTATAAAAAGATTTTACCTTGTCGAGATTTGCATATTTTATTGCTGCTAGAACGCGATGACACACTCGTTTCGATCGAAAGTTGCGTTGGAACTGATGGGAGTACCCGCGCGGGTAATAATAATGATAGCAGATAGGTATATTGTCAAGTAAGCGATAAGATAATATACACGATATAACAGCAAACAGCTATGCCGTGTTAGCACCAAAAAAATACGATAAGATAAAATAATCCGATTATTATTAATGATAGTTTTTATGGTTAGCCGTGCGCTGACATATAGCAACATAGGTAGACCTATTTTTAAAAGCTAATTTCTCATTGGGAATTTTACCAATTGCTATATATATAAATATAATAACATTCCAGAGGGGGGGGGGAGCAAGTGCCCCGTCTTGCCCCCCCTGGGGACGCCCATGCCGTTATAGTCACAAAACTTGAGAGTGCTCAGATTACCTACATTAGGAAAATTGTCACTACTTGATAATTTGTGTGACCAAACATGTACTATTTAGGTTGTTGTTCCTTGTTCAAAATGCCCTAGAGCTTTTATTAACCGTAATTCTGCATTTAATTCATCTTCATTAACATTGAATTCTTTTCATAATGCATCAATATCTGAAATTGTTTGCTTAAATTCAATCATACGTCCAACCGAATCAATTATTTGTAATGTTTCTTGACTGAATTTGATTGCAGCTGTTATAAATATACCTTGAATAGGTGATAAGTAGACGCACGCCCTGCACACCTCATAACCGCGCCTATGACTATTACCTATCCCGGTTGATAATATAAGATGTAGAATAAATACTAAAACATTTATCTATAATATTTTCCCTCAATTTACATTCATTTGACATAAAACCAGCTCGATTCGTATAGGTAGTGGTGCAGTATTATTCGTGATTCGTTTGTGCCGCATAATATTTATACAAGGAAAAAAACAATTTTAATTAATCATCATTTTAAACACTACAATTTTGTATAAGTTTATTTTAGTTTGTAACATAGTTATACAATTATAATCAGAATAGAATAAAATTTACCTATTCAGAAAAATATAAACTATTTCAACTTGGCAACATACCTAGCCTAAAAAATTGTTCGTTTTGCAGTTAAAAGAAAATTTGTTAATCAAACGACATTTGTTCGAAATTGTTATAAAAATGGTAAAACGTACACAATCATGTTGTACCCTTCTATAATACCTACTTTAATAAAAATAAAAATAAATAATTGCAATGGTTGGGTTTGCGTTTGAACTACATGCTTGATACATAATATAGTTTTAACCCCAGTTCCAAATCTGTATTTTACAATCGGTTTCAATTATTAGTGTACATCGGAGCGAAAAAAAGCAAGTGTGTGCACGACCAGAAAGATGTTGTGGATCCCCGATGTAAGTGTTACGTAGACAACTACGGACCACAGATGAAGAACCACTGTATAATAATATTATTCAATATTATTTTGAAAAAAATTGTGTTTTTTACCATTTTCTTTGTCTTAGATTGATTGGTAGAATAGGTATTTAAACATTTTTTTTTTTCTATTTAATTGAAACATATTAAACTTTATGAGTTTATTTTTGATCACGGATTTAAACAATGTTGATAGAAATGTAAAATAAAGAGTAACTGTAAATTCATAAAAAGCAAATGTCACCAAGTGGAATAGAATTATTATTAAAAATAATACAATGAAACACAGAATGAGAAGAGAATAATAATAATAAAAAAAAAAACAGTGGATACAATGAAATTCAGTAAATAAATGTATAAATCAAAAATAGTATTAATTGCTAGCGCCTAAAAAACCAATATATTATAATAAAATAAGTTTGTAATGTTTATAGTTATAGAAGTTAGTAATAATTTAATAGGTAACTATTATAAGTATTGTATAATAATTGTACGAAATTCGGGAAGGATATAATATTTTCAGTATTTCATCTATACACAAATTATTACAGATTTTAAGTATAACTATAATAAGGTAAAATTAGGCATTGTGGACAAATATTAAACATAAATAAGCATAATCCACGGGTGTTCTAGTGTAAAATAATTTAATTTAATATTTTCAAAAATAATTATTTAACATGGAACAAAAAAAAAAAAGAATAAAATGATAGTCTGATTTTTTTTGTTTAATTGTAATTTATTATTATGCTGTATCTGTAAGTTCAGAATCATCATCTATGTCGCCGTCTGCTGGTACATTATTTGGAGAGTGAACATTAGACAATAAGTCTCTCATGGCGTCAAGCAAAGAGTTGACACTTTGACGCAAGTCACTCCTCATCTCTTCAATTTGCTCACCGACCATGGCTATAACGGGTCTTGCAACTGCTTCAGCTTCAGCTGCTAATTCTTCATCAACATTACTAAAAGTAGACATATTTTATAAATAAACGATAAAGTTTTATATGATGAAACTTGTTTGACTACAGAAAATATTATTAATTTACCTTTCATCAGAAAGAGCTTGAAATACCGGGTTCCATGATCGAAAGAATGTTGAGAATAATGAATGATTTTCCATAGCAGTTCTGCTTATGTTATCGTGAAGTAATCTGGGAGTGTAAAATGATGTACCATCCGGTGGTGGAAATGGATCCATAATGAGAATTGCATTTGTAACCGCCTATGAACAAATTGTAAATTAGTGAAACACTAAACAAAAATTTTGAAATGCAGTGGATTCTGCTTAATGTGGTCACCGATTAATGCGGGCAGCCGTTTAATATGGGCATACTGGTCTGGTCCTGATTTATTAGATTTTTAACTATGATACATTGGATTTATTTGTATAATTCAAATATTTTTATTTTAAGTAAAAAGAAACAATTTTGAACTTTTCTTTTGCCTTTCTTCCAACTATTTGATGTTGGCCAATCAAATTTTAAACATTTTATAGGTATATGTATAACAAAAAAAAATCACATTTTTTTACCGAAATAAAATACCTTGAGTCATAAACAGTTTTCAAAATTAAAATCAGTTAAACATTCCTACATTTGTGTAAAACTAAGGTCTAAATCTATTATAATATACACAAATACCAATTCTCTTAATATAATTATTGTTTTGGTATATTTGATTTAATCTTACATTATTTTATGAGAAACATGAATTTATAAATTATATTATTTCATCATATTTTTAACAGGAAAAAGAATCATATTAGTTTAAATTTATTCATAAATACAGAATAATAATACTTTTGGATCATTTGATATCTTTAAATATTTATGAAAATAACATTACCTCAGCTGGTGGTGCAATTGTATCACTCATGTCTGACAGTAATAAATGTCTGTGTATGTTCAGTGGTGGTTTGGCACTGTACAAAGTGGATCGTAAGTTTTCCATATTTTTCACTAATGGGTCTTTAGCATCCACTCTATCTAGTACGATTTGCACATTGCGTTCAAGCCACGGCAATAATTGAACCTCTTTCCAGATGTGATAACTTCTTGTCACATACATAGAAATCAAGTAAGACAATGATTTTGGTTGCCTGTGAAATTGTTTACAAAAATTTTATTTCATCGCCAGAGAACATAAATAATATTATATAATATACATACGTATCAATAGCATAAGTGGAGAAGAATGAGTGTGCAATGACACGCTTGTCAGCCTGAATGGAACATTTTTCTAACAAAGGTATTAAAACACCAGGAAACATAATCAGCGCTTCTTGTAATAGCGTGTGAGCAGTTTCTACATCACCTTTTTGCCATTTAGCAACAGCTAATGAAAACTTGATATTAGGAAGCTGTGTAAGATTGCGCGCCGAATCAAAAGCGTTCACAAAATGAATGAACCATGAATATTCAGAAGAACGTAAAGCATAAAAATCAATACACAATACAACGGCAAGAGGATCGTCCATTGGGGAAAGGGACAAAAGAAGTTTGCAGAATTCTAAGGCTGTACGATAACAGGCACGGAGTCCCACAAATATTAAATGTCTGTACAAAGTCAGGAACAATGCTCTGAAATCAATAATAAAAATAATTATTTTTAATTAATGATTAAAAATTACAAATAATTATACTGTGGTAAATTTTTTAAAATTAGAATAAAAATACAATTTTACTTATTTTTAAGAAATTAATAACTGCATTTTTATGAATTACTGTGTCAAAACATATCTTAAAAAAATGAAATAAAAAATGTAAATATCAATTACTTTAGCTACATAAAAGTAAGAAAAAAAATATGAATGAAAAGTAACATTAAACAACAAACTCACAAGAAAAAAATAGATTTTATGACAAAAGTTTGGTCAGAAGTATTATATTAGTTTATCTCTATTTTTGGTTTTAATTGGTGACACTAATCGCTATATTTTTGATTTTTAAATTTATATACTATAATTTTTTAATGATGAAGCACCTATTTTCATGTAAACGGTAATCCAAACGACATTTTCCATTTGACAAACTGAACATGGGATGGAATGAATTCTCCAACGAATATAAAGCTTGTTCAGTGAGTTCAGCAGCGACTGGCAAGTCTTCACTGAGTCGAGCCCATTCTGTCATTTGTAACAGTACATCCACATGATATGGATGATTGTTGATAATATTCTAAAATCAAATGATGTATAGATCATAATTTGAAATAATATAAAACTAATAATTGCAACATACAACCAGGTTTCCAGATGACATTTTAGAAACAGCTGTGTAGAGTTGAGTCTGTACTTGTTCATATTCTGGACTGTGTTCAAATGCAAAATACATAATGCCGTTTTTGCTTTCCAAATATTTCATTGTTGAACCTAAAATAAAATGCTTTTTTCATACGAACTAAACAATAAAAATGTATTCAATATTTTACCTGACTTTCCAACCGGTGGCCAATTGTCTTTGGGTGTCACCAACCATGTAGTTTTTAAATGATTTCTTCCTCGGAACTTGCGTTTACTACAAATATAATGATAATATAGTATAGATCTTTTGTTCATGTAAAAAATTATTAATTCTTATTTTAGTTGATTTGGTTTTAATCATTATTATTTTCAAAATGTTAATAAGCATCCTAAATATAAGACTTTTCTACTTATATATTGTCTGATACCTATTTAAGGGGTTAAAATTTTATCACAGGAATAGGGATTACTCATTATCAACATAATATTTTCTGTTAATTTTTCTTTTTAAAATTGATAAATTTTTTAAACAATAACATTCTACAGATCACATTGAACTTCAATATTTCATTAAAAAAACCGACCAAAAATTTATCATTATTGAACTGTTTAATTTGATACACTCTGTATACAATTCTTTAATACTTATCAAGCGTTTAGAATGATTTAATGCAATTAATGCAAATAGCAAATAATCAAAATACAAGTCGAATGTTTTTAAAATAAATAGATAAACTTAGCTGTAGCTTGTTTACAAACAATTAATTTGTGTATATCAAAATGCTATTGTATGTACCCATTAAAAGCAAATTTATATCTACTACATACGAAATGAAATAATTATATAAATATTAAGATAGGATGAAACATTGAACACATTCATTTGTTTTTATTATTATTGTTAGGTAAGAATGTAATGTGTTATTTTTATAGAAATTGAATAGTTTTTTATTAAGATTCTGAGTAAGAAATGTATTACTTTTAAGTACTATGGTTTGTGTAATTTTTGTTTGTAAACTTTTCACCAAGAAATCTTAGTTTTTTTTTGTCGTTAAAAATAACCAAACATTTTATATTAAGTTTATCATAAGTTAGTCTCAGTAGTAAAAACAAAATTAAAAAAGTTAACTGTAGCATTGTAATTTATTTTTGTACAATAATTTAAATTTAAATTTATATGATGAAAGAATTGTATTAAAACACAAAATAAAATTTATTTTGTAGTTAAAAATTAATGTGATTTTCAATTTCAATTTATTAAAACAGGTTTAACCAAATTCCGCTCATGTCTTTTGTTTGTAATGATTTATTGTTGCATACAGTAAATAAACCAAATTACTCTATATTATCTTACTTCCCCAACTTTTGATTTACAATAGTAGCCTACATTAGAACAGTGACATTATTTAGTTTTAAATTCTGAGAGGAGTGAGGAGTTTATTGGTTTTACAATGATGTTTAATATATTTATTTTTTCTAAATCTATAATTTTTATATGCTAAATTAACAATAAAAAAAAAAAATTGTACTGATTTATGCTTGTGAAAATAAACATTAAAAGTACCATAAATTATAAACATATTTTAAAAAATACAAAATAATAGATATTACTGAATATGATTATAATAAAATAGTGTTACAATTTGAGTATAGTTCCAAATAAAATATTATTTGATTTTCATACATTTTTGAACTTGATAGTACAGTCATACACACGATAAAAGGAAAGTTAATTTAAGTATATATTATCAAATAATGTTTCAAACGTTTGTAGAGTTGTTTACCTGTTATGAAGACATTAAAAACTTAGTAATTTAATTTTACTCGAGCAACATAGGTTTTTTAATTAGATAACTATATAGGAATTTATAAGTATTTACCCAGGATTAATTATCAATTAAACTGTTTTAGTTTTTACCTCAATTCAGCTTGATGAACTACACGTCCGAACATTTTACGCAGTTCATTATTTGGATTAAGATTACGGTGCTGCACGGACAATATATTTTTGAAATAAATTGATTCACGATTGTGCAATAGATTCTGTGAGGATGTAGCTTCGTCTTCTTCTTCACCTTTATACGGTACTGCGCCCAATATTTTGTTCACTTCACGTACACTCCGTTCTACTTCATCCTAAACAATAAATCAATTTATATTTTATCATCGATATTAGGTATATTAATAGTTCATTCTTTTACTTACCTCAACATTGTCTTCACTGCTGCGGGTGTGTGATGACAACACTTTACCAGATTTCTTCCTCTTTTTCTTCTTTTTTCTTCTAATGTTCTCTTTATCACACGATATATTCTCATCTTTCTTATTTACCGAACTTGTTGTTTCGTGGTCATCGTCTTCTTTCACTTCAGACTCTGACAGAGAACCATGGTTGAGCTATGGGAAAAAAAAAAAAAAATAAAAAAAATAGATCGCATACCTAGGTAATAATACTGTTCATAGTCGATCAGTGATTGTTATTTTGCAATGCTATTACACTTACCAAATCATACATGTTTAAATGTCGCTTCTTGTTCACACCACCGGAACTCGTTTCCGTGTCATCACTCGCATCGTTGTCTACGGGGGGTAGGTCCCGATCCTCCTGCAGACCCATTTTTCGTAACACCCTTGTTGACATTGTGAGCGAATGTGGCAACAACTGACTGAAAGACTTGTAATTTTTGTTTGATCACATATTTTGCGATGTCATCATAGGTAATTCACGGTGACGGCTGTTCACGGAACGCACACAACCACCGACGGCAGTAATATTATTTATGTTAAAAACGGAATGATAAAATATAACAGTGACAGCGAACGTCACAGAACAACAATAATAATTATTTTCTTCAACACTTGGACACTCGGTGATATACCATTACAATAATACAATAATCGCATTGATTGGATCGAAATAAATTTTATCATTATATCACGAATTTTAAAGAACAGCTGGTCGATAATTTGTTTTTAAGGGAATTGACTGTAGTCAGTGCTACCAGCCTGCCGCTGCATTACGGATGATAATAAGTATGATAAGTGATAACCCGGTTATCATGCAGTTATCGTTTATCAGCAATCAGAATGTTGAGAAATCTTACTCGCACGTTCTCATGTCCGCAGTCGATCATTGTGAAATCGTGTTTCGTCCATTCGGTTCCGCTCCCGTACGCAGCTGCCGACATCATGTCAAAAGAACAGGAAAAGCCGCAGGAGAAACCGTCCAAAATCCAATTGAAGACACCCAAAGGCACGCGCGACTACGGCCCCGAACACACGGCCATCCGCAATGACGTGCTCGGCCGGATAACCGAAGTGTTCAAACGTCACGGTGCGGTGAACATCGACACGCCGATATTCGAGCTGAAAGACGTGTTGACCGGTAAGTACGGCGAGGACTCCAAGCTGATTTACGATCTCGCCGATCAGGGCGGCGAGTCGCTGTCGCTGCGCTACGATCTGACCGTACCGTTCGCCCGGTACTTGGCCATGAACAAGATCACGAACATCAAGCGCTATCAAATCGCCAAGGTGTACAGGCGGGACAATCCGTCCGTCGCGAGGGGCCGCTACCGTGAGTTTTACCAGTGCGATTTCGATATCGCCGGCCAATACGACGACATGCTGCCGGAGGCCGAGTGCGTGTTCGTGGCCGCAGAAATATTGCGGTCGTTGGACGCGGGCAAATTCAAAGTTAAAGTCAACCACAGGATGCTGTTGGACGGGCTGTTCGAATCGTGCGGCGTTCCGATCGACAAATTCAGGACGATTTGTTCGTCGGTCGACAAACTGGACAAATCGAAATGGGACGAGGTGAAAAAGGAAATGACCGACGAAAAAGGGCTGACCGGGGAAGTGGCCGATAAGATCGGGACGTACGTGCAGTTGCACGGCACCGACGAGCTGGTCACGACTCTGTTTAAAGACGAATTGCTCACCACGTCTAAAATGGCCGTGCAAGGACTCGAGGCGATGAAATTGTTTTTCGAGTACATTAAACTGTTCGGAATCGATGACATCGTGTCTTTCGACATGAGTTTGGCCAGAGGCTTGGATTACTATACGGGGATTATTTACGAAGTCGTTTTGTTGGATCAAGGCGAATCCGTCGGCAGCGTGGCCGGCGGCGGTCGCTACGACAATCTCGTCGGCATGTTCCATCCGAAAAACAAAACCATCCCGTGCGTGGGGATATCCATCGGTGTCGAAAGGTTGTTCACCGTCATCGAGGCCAAACTCGCCAAGCAGAAACAAAAGACGCGCGCCACCGAGATACAAGTGTTCGTGGCCGCCGCCCAAAAAAACCTGGTCGAACACAGGATGATCGTGTGCAAGGACTTGTGGAACGCCGGCATCAAGGCGGAACACTCTTACAAGAAAAACCCCAAACTGCTGGCTCAACTCCAGCACTGCGAAGAGAACGAGATCCCGTGGGCGGTCGTGATCGGCGAAGAGGAAGTGTCCAAAGGCGTAGTCAAATTGCGGGACGTCGTCACCAGGAAAGAAGAAGAGGTCAAGAGGGAAGAGCTCGTGGAAGAAATATTCAAGAGGTTACAAATTAAAAGCTAACCGCCCGAGTATATATATTTTTTGAAGTGCGTTTTTCGGTATTCGGTTATATATATATATATTTTTTTTTAATTTTTTTTTTTTATCAAAGTTTGTTCCTAAATAACAACCAAAAATAAGACGTTATTTTTAATAATTCATCTTGTTTTTTTTCCATTTCGCCCGTACATAATGTATAATAATGTCTGTACATAATTAAGTGCCTATCTCATCAAAATTGTATTACTCGGGCCGCGAGTCGTACAATAAACGATGAAATAAATAGACACGTTTTTCAAACGCAATGTATCGACCGTATCGTGTAATACTTCCGAATAATGAAAAATTATAATTATTCTACGGCTGTTTATATTATGTTGTATTATTGTATGTTCTGAACATTTTCATTGTGTTTATTCTCTACATTCTAAGCGAAGCGTGGAGCGCGTTTGTTTTCCAATGACGTCGATTTTTTTTTTGCTACGCTGTACAGAGTGCACAAAGTGTCTCCTGGAAATCCTGCTCTGGTCGACACGCGACCAAAGGCCTATTCTGTCGCATTTTGGCGGCTCTAGTTGGGTGTTTCTGAAGGGTCGCCGGTTCGCCCGGCACGCGCCGCGTGCCTCAGGTTTGAAAACCGTAATTGCTAATCGAAATACGAAAATTATTGCGCAATCAATAATGCCGCGCGTGTATCCAAAGAGACGTTGTGTACGGGAAGAGAAACCGCCCGTCCCGTTCCCGTCGCACTTGGCCGCGCCGGCGTTTACCGTAACGTTTAACGGGCTACGCGGTGCACGTGACCGCTGTGAAACGCCGGCTATCGCCGGCCGACTATTACGGCGCCCGCGGCACCGACCGCCCCCGGGCGCGCGCCCCCGTTCCGTCGCCCGTCAACGGCGACGACCGACAATCCGTTCTCCGGTTTCGGTTTTACCGTTCCGATTTCGTTGGTCGTTTAAACCGATCACGAACGAAACGGGACCGCGGTACGTTATGGCGAACGAGCGCGCGCCGCCGCCGTCGGCCGTGTCGTTCCGGCCGTCCGGACGGTGTCTACGGCGCCGGGACGTACGGGGCGAGTACGCGCCGCATGAATATCACCGTCCGCGCCGGTGGTCTCGCGGTAATCGGCCGACGCGCGGCCCGTAACCGACCGTTACGACATCGTGTTCGCGGCGTGTTTTTGCGACGAGCCCGTGTGACGTTGCGGACGCGCAGGCAGTACAGGTGATGTCGTGCCGTTCCGCTATTATTATGCCGATGCGGACTTACCCGCTGCCCGGTTATAAAACAACGATTTGAGATCGCTGGATTTAAATTTAAAATGTCCGTTTATTAATTCAGTCAATTATCCGTATTGTTTTCCGAACAACTAGTCGAACGCGACTCCGGCTGCTCGATTTACACTGTTTTGCACTGTATCAGCGGATTCCGTGCAGTTTTCAATCAAACAATTGCGAGAAACCGGGGGAAATCGTAGAAAGAACGGGAAAATTTACAAAAACAATGTTTTTTTTTTTTAATTTCAGTTTCGGTTTTTTCGTTGTCATTTGGTTAAACGAATTATTTGTCGAGACACTTAGGGTTTTAACAGAAAGCCAATTATCTTTGAGAACCCCCCGGAAAATCAAAAAAATTACCACTCTAACACACCAACTGTAGGTAAAGTTTCCCTTCAAAAAAAGGCGCTTCACTAAATTATTGATACGTCGGAGTCAGATTTTTGGTAGAAAAGTTGTCTATATAAACAGAAAAAACAATACCATAGCAAAACCAATAGAGATCCTTTGGCTCTGCTCCGAAACTAAAAGTACCGTTATTTTGTGGATCATTGATTAATATTCGAATATCGTCGAAATATAATATTGACAAGTTGACTGTCACGTTTTTTTTTTTTTTTCTGAAAACTTCAATTACATGCCACGAGATCTGATTTGAGATCTCACCAAAACTAAAAAGTCAATCAAAATACGATTGATACGAGACACAATATGGGATCTCACGTACTAAAAATCCAAAATCCTGTGGAAACTTTTTATTTTTGAGTCACTAATATAATATTGTTAAGTTTCAAAATCAAATAACAAAATAAAATAACGCATCACTTTTGGAAAGTTTGCTCTAAAAACTGATCATGGCAGGGAAGATAATTTTTATGAGATCCCAGGTCTCATGGCAGCCAAGTTGTTTTAATATTTAAGTTTTTATTCGAATTGCATCGTTTGAATTTTACCGGACTATACAAAGTGATCAATCTATTAGAAGACACTCGTTATGTCGGAAAGTATTTATTTTTTCCGGAATTGGTTTTCTAGAATATTTAAGAAACAAGCTGTTCTACATGTTTATATTCATGTTGTTTTTAGTCACCTTGTTTTTTTTTTTGGGGGGGGGGGGGGTAAAACCACTTCCTACTTTTGATTTCCACCAAGTGGCAACCTGTATTTAAAATTCCATAAATAGACGAAGTATTAGTTAAAATAAATTTCGGTGTTGACATTTTTGATTTCCGTCAAACCGTTGACGGGTTATTCCACTGATAAGTTCGGGTTGTGAGAGAGTGGTGGTGCATTATTAACACGCCTCGCGCCGTACCACCACTCAAATGGTACTCCAACTAAACTACTCCGACCCAAACTTAAAAATGGAATGTCTCGTCAAAGGACTGACGGAAACCAAACATTTCAACACCAAAATTTGTTTTAAACAATACTCCTTCTGTTTATGGGATTTTAGTATAGGTTGCCATTTGAAAATCAACTGTATGTAGTAATGGTTTTACCCCTAAAAATAAGGGTGATGAAAAATAACATTTTGTAAAGCAGCTTGTTCCTTGAATGTTCTAGAAAATAAATTCCGGAAAAAGTTAATGCTCTCCAACGCTCCGTATACGCTCCGTATGTCGATAATAAATAATTTTCATGGTATTATCCACGCGTTATCGTTTTGTTAATTTTATCGGTACCCAGTTAAATATCGGGTTACATAAAACTCGTCTATAAAAAAAAAAAATACGAGTATATAATATGTGTTTTATGATACCTCATATACCGAATATATTAACAATTATTATCTTTGGCGAGTGTTAAAACTTTTAATGCCCGTAGCGTCGCGTTTTTACTGTCCCGATGCGACTAATATGGCGAAATTGCGCGAATATTATTACAATAATTGTGGCGTTTAGTCGAAAATTACAATTTAAACACAGGATGCACCTACGTAACGAAATTTAAAAATAGTATTTATTGAGTGCACCGCTTGGTTTTTTCTTAAAATGTTTATCGTACAAAATAGTTACCGACAGCCGAACTAGCGTTTTTTTTTTTTTTCTAATAGCCGTAACTTTTATGTATATTTTAGAAAAACGCAGCGTGATACCTTTAAAAATATATAATTCTCAACTTTGAATTTTCTTATCGGCAGTGTTTAAAGTTCAAACTCTAATTTAAAACTAAACACGCTGCAATTTAAATTCTGAGTTACGTACTCGATTTCGCTGTATTGCACGTTAACTGAACAGAAACACTAAAAAAAACAAAATGATAAGTAACACGGTTCTCAGCTATAATTGATTTTATAATTTCGGCAAAACATTTTAAGAAAACAAATCGTTTATTTTAAAAATAATTTCACTTGCGTATTTTCGGTTTCTTGCTGTATACCTGCAGGGGATCCATTTAAGCGGGTACACTCATTATATCGGAAAGTATTAATTTTTTTTCGGAATTTATTTTTTAGAACGGTGGATCCCTACCGGAACGGAATTTCCCACCCCCTCCCGGGAAGTAGGAATTACAGAATTACATAGGTTCTGCGTGGGAGAGGGGGGGGGGGAATATAGTGATGATGAAATAGCAATAATTTTTTTTTGTTAAAATAATTATGCCATTTTATACAATCAGTAAAATTGAAAACGACAAATTAATTTTAGTCGTACAATGTATAATGACATATTATTATATACGGTTATTTTATAAAATTTATTTGTACGGCTCACACAAGCAGAAAAAAAAAAAGGTCTAATTTAGTTTAATGGTCGGGGGCGTGTGAGTAGAATAAAAAAAAAAAAAAAAAGGTCGGGAACCACTGTTCCGGAACGTATTTTAAGAAACAAGCAGCTCTGCTAGTAAGTGGTGCACGTGTATTAACACGCCGCGCGCCGCGCCCCCCCCACAGATGATAGTCCGCCACTCGCTCCTCCGACCCAAACTCAAGAGGATTGGAATTTCTGTTCTCGTCTTGCACACGTGAGATGTAGGGATTTAGACGCGTTTTATTTCCGACGTACCGATTGGGGGGTCTGGTGTGATTCATTACTCTCGACCAATCTGGATTTTTCGCCGTTTCGATCGCACAAAAGATACGGCACGCCAACACAAATTATTTGATACCGACGTGGCCATTTTGGGAAAAAAAAAAAAAAACCTGACCTTTCTGTTATAAATATTTCGCTCTTGCCCAAGTGTCGTTGATTTACAGTAACCGCGGTACTCTGCAGAATCGCGGTCGCGTGGATGAGGGTGTCATTTCTCTTCACCCACAACCCGTTTTTTTTTTTTCCTCACGAATTTACACGAATGACCCTTTAGATTCCGAGCGAAATAACAAATGCATCGGTTTTACAACGATGCGATTTTTCATTAATTTTGTTTATGTCTGCGGCCTTGAATTTTAATATCGAACAAGTTGCAAATTGCATAATCATACTACTCGTATAATATAGGTTATAGTTATAAAAATAATAATGCTGGAAACTTAATGTTTTTTTTGTTTTTAATACACTTATTTTTCATATCTCCCCGTCAAGAAAATTCTAAATACGCCGCTGATTACGCTAATTTAATACAATGTACGTACCTATATATTTCAATTTTAATTTTGAGGGGGCGCACGTCTGGTATGTAATTGGATTATGAACGAGCACATATTTATTATATTTTATGGCACGGTAGCCAATAAATCTACACAATTTAACGAAATTAACGTTCAATCTACACATTCGTGTGCATTCACCTCCACAGTGCACGGAATTAATGAAGAACGAATTACTAAAGGAATAAGAAATTTTGTACAGGTTTAAAATATTTTTTATTACTATATAAAAATCTTTTACACAAATTAAAAATATCAAATAATTAAAACAAATTTTTTCTCAAATCATGTGTGCACTCTTTGTAAATTAAATTTCGGAATTTGTATGTAATTAAAAAACATTTAAAGTAAAAATAATTTGTAGGAGATAAGATTTACTTAGCCATCCACTTTGGCGTGCGAATTCCACATAGGAACATTTTAAATAATTAAAAACTCAAATTTATTATTTGTATTTAAAAATGTATTCCGGTATCAATCTGACAAGGTTGGGGACTACGTGAAATTTACTCCTAGAACAAACATTTTATTTTCTGATCGATAGAAGCGTTTTTTAAATTCGGAAATTTAATTTACAATTATTTAAAATCTATTAAAAAAAAAAAACTGCATCAAATTGAGAAACCACATACCTAACTGTAGTTTTTACGTAAAAAAAAACTATTAAAAATAATGAAAAACTTCCATCATT